GTCCAAAATTCAAAGAAAAATAACTGTACATTTTAAAAAAACTTTAGAAAAAACCCGTTGAAGGTTTAAACCTTGTTAAATAATTCGTATTAATCGATTATTGAAACACGAATTTATTTAAAGTTCGAAAAATAGCTAAGTGCCTCGTTTCATGACGATGTGGAAAATGGAGTATGTAAAGTAACTGTTGTTTCCTAGCCTTATCTCAAAATAGCGATTTCATCACAAAACATAAAATAAAAAAATTCGAATTCGAATTTCGAAAAAATCGCTTCGAGGTGCACTGGCTCTTGTCTAGATGCACCTATGTACCAAATGTCGTACCAAATGCCGTGGGTCTAGTAGCTTACGCGCAGCGCAAACGAAAGACACAAACATACACACACACAGACAGACTCTTTCTTTTATTATATGTAGAGGAGATTTGAACAACATCCAATTTTGGACTAGTTACGCTAAGTAAACATGATGATTTTAAATTAAAACGGCTAACATTTTTTTTTAGCGATTGATAGCACTTAAATTCAGATGCGCACCCGAAGTTCTCGAATTTTCTTTTGAACCTTGCTTAGTAATAGTCCACAAGGCCGCCATTACGTATGCAAGAAGGAATGGCATTTGCAAGCCAACAATATTAAGTGACTCATTGGCCAGTCTACAGGCCATTCTGAGCATTGGAAACAATTAGTCCCAAGACATTCAAAGAACTCCTAACACAACATAGGCTGAAAGACCAAACCTAACATGGTTCCAGCTCATGTAGGCTCCATGGAAATGAAGTAGCTATCAATACAAAGAGCAGCCATGATACAATAGGATCGAAACTCCAGAAAGACTTCTCAAATCCTACATGAAAAAGCAACATTAAAAACCTGGTAGACGAATGGCAAAGACGATGGACAACAGAGAAACAGGCAGACGAGTCTACTCATTCTATCCCAAAGTAAAGCTAGAGCAAAGATACCACAAACGTTTTCTCAGTACTTCTCGGCCATGGACCCTTTCAAGCTTAGCTCTACAGATTCGTTCTTAGAATCACGGATGAGTGTCAATGCGGAGAAGTCGGTGATCCATCACTACCTTTCCAGTGTCCAAAACACACATCCCTTAAAAAGCCGTTAGAAGTCCATAAGCCAAAATGGGCAGAACTCCTAACAAAGAATACAGTTGATCATAGAAAGCTTAGAGACATAATGCATCACTGCACTAATAACTAATTTCCACTCACTAAAACTACTACAAAGATCTGACTGACTCTCTACCTTTACCATCACTGCGTAATAACCTGATTAAGGTGATGTGTCACACCCAAAATAAACTAGCTACTCAATTCTCAATGTTTGGCAGGATGCCAAATTCTATTCGAAATAAGGAAAGGAGTTTTTTCCCCTGACTCTTCTTATGCTGAGTAAAGGGACTGAGTGATAAGACACTCACCCTTTCTTACAGTAACTAGCTGTTACTACTGATTCCAACAGCTATCCCTCAGTTATCAAGAATGCAGTATGTGCATAAAAGTAGAGATCAGAGCTGGTTACATTTTTTCCCTAGCTGCTTCATATTGTAATTTATATTGTATTAATGACCGTATTAAATATGTATAGATATGGTTTATAGTATGTAATTTATTGAATAATGAATCCTGTATTAGCCTTAGTACGGTATTATTATGCAACTGTATGTTATGAATATGCAGTCCTCTTTGCGCCTGTAAGTTTCAGTTGCATCACGTTAATGCAACGTAGTATAGTAATGATAAGCCAAGTTTTACTTGATCTTTTGTCGTCTGCATTTGCTAAGGCATCAATGTTGCAATAGGTTTAATATTTAGGCAGGTACTCTTTTACTCATTATCATTGTAGTCATATTGTTTCTTCATATACTCAGCATCATGCTTCTAAAAAGTATTGTCAAGGTATCGAATGTCTGTGCGTAAAAGTCTCTAATGTCAAAATTTACCAGTGTTTCTAAAATTAGCATAAGTAATAGTTAGTCTGAGGTGTTATGCATGTCATCAAGAAGTATCATTATAACCAAAACAGAACAATGTACCATACTCTGTAAAAAAACGCTCTGTAGCCCATAAAATTTTTTTTTATTTAGTACAAATAAATATTCCGAGGTCTGGGCTTTAATCTGTGTAAGGCAGTCCCACGACTGTCAGGCAACGGAGCCCAGGCACTCTGGTCTTCAGTCCAAGAGAGCTCCTGAGCATTAGATATTAGTTATAGGTAATAGATTCTTAAATTGAAGAAATGTGAAAATTAAATGCAACAATTTCTGGCTTCTGGTTTCTATTTTGTATTACACTTAAGAAGTCATATAGTGTTGTGAAAATTAGCAAGTTTGAATTATTGAAGATTGCTATCTTAAACATAAGGATTTTACTGAAGTAATTGCCCTTTTATTAGCTGATGTAAGAGAATATGGGACATGTAACTCTAAAACGCATTGCAAAATTGCGAGAATTTATATCTGTTTTGCAGTAGAAATAGATATTTAACTCCGAGCACGGAAAGAAAATTTTGGTGTAGCACCAGGGTGCCTGCGTCCAAGATCCTACCCCCACATCGAAGAATAGTGTTGTTTACGAATGGTACAGGAAAATAACTTGTACAGCTTACACATAATAAATTCAAGAAATGTATATGCAAATATATTTACATGACATACGTAATTTTTACGTAGGTCGTACAAAGATCTCAGATGTTGTGAAGAGCTGTCTGGAAAGCTACGAAGTTAGCCGTCGAGCTGGTGATAACCTGTGAAATTACATAAATGTATATAAATAAAATTTATTAAGCAAGTGTGAACCCAGAGGTACCATATGAAAATACGATATGAAAATAAATGAAGATAATACATATGTATGATATAAATACCAAAAAGTAATAAATATGTCAGTGAAGATACTACACAAATACAAATTACATGTCAATTAAGCCATAAAGGTACATTAATCTGGTAAGTTGCCAAATATGGCCATTGGTCTTTTACTATACGAAGGGTCGTTTACATCATAATCATATACCCTGATGACAGGATTATTGATTCGTTTTTGATCATTAAAGAACTTACGAGCAGTGCGGCAATAGAATGACTTAAGCTGCTCTATGCGTAATTCCTCATGTAATTTTAAATTTTTCACTTACCACGAAGAAGAATCAGTAATCTGCCGCAGTACGCAGTTCTAAGCAGTAGCAATTCTGTAGCTTTTTTCCGGCACGATTTGCATGAATACGCCCAAACTGGGCAGACACAACAAAGTATGGGACACAACATAGATTTTTAAATCAGTAGCTTGTTGTCTATAGAAAGTACACTGTTTCGAGCAATTAAGGGGAAGAGTGAGCGTTTACCTCCTCGAAACTTTTTAATGATAGATGTAATGTGTGAAATAGATATTTATGACGGAAGTTTTTGTTCATTCATTTCTTTGTGCCAATGTCTGTGGTAATTTTATATTTACATGCTACATATCGAAATCTTTTAAGCTCTAAAAATGTTTGGCTCTACACATCCCCAGGTTAGAAAAGAACAGAAAAAAATTGTTGTCTGGTAAACGACCTTAATGCGTTTTAATTTAAATAACTTTTAATGACGAACTCGCGTTCTTTTTCTTTCTTTTTTTCCCTTGTTTATTTCTAACGTGAATTTTAAATTAATTTATTAAACCTTATTTTCTACATAAATTATAGTGTGTAAATTAGGAGTTATTCTTATTTGATGAAGTAAATAACCGTGAAATCAATAACTTTTTTTTTGAAAACTTTCCTAGAATTGGTGAATTTAACTGTGATACTATTAAGAACCGTAAGCTGAGTTCACTAATTCTGAGTTCGTGATCTGTTTGTGTTACTTAAATCGATTATTTATTGTGCATAAGATATGGCTACCAAACATTATTTAAATCACTGTGATCGTAATGATTCAGAATCTTTTGAAGAGTCAGATGAAAAATCTTATCGTAAAACTCAATGGGTTAAATTAAACGTCGGTGGAACATATTTCTTAACGACTAAAACTACTCTTTGCCGTGACCCCAACTCGTTTTTATACCGGTTATGTCAGGAAGATCCGGATTTAAATTCCGATAAGGTAAAGCGAATGGTTTTTTAGCGTTAGCAGTGCTTGAAGCATTTATAGTCTGACTTACAAAATATTCTAAAATTTAGTCTGAACAGTGCCGTTTCTTAGTAAAAATATGAAACCGAGAGGAGGTGGGTTACGAGGAGTCGGTATTTCGTAGCATGCAGGAGTTTTCGCTAAATATATAGCAAGTTATTTTGTAGTTAAAAAGAAAATACGCAATATAGCAAATGATTTCTGAATATTTGTTCCATGTGATTTTCTGTTACTAAAAATTGATTAATGTAATTTTTTAGAACATGAATATGTTTTAAGATTGTAAAGTAGTCATATCATTCAATTTATTATGGTTTGAACACTCCAAGAAATAATTATCATCAGTTGTATTTAATAAGCTTTTAACTGAGAATTGCTTTAACTAAGAAATAACAAAATGTATATTAGATATGAAAATGTGCAATTATTTATGCAAATTTTTTCCTAAGTTTTTTTTTTTATAGTTTATTTAGGGGTAATTTTTCCTAAATAGGTTACTTGTAAAGGAATTTATTTTTGAGTTTTCAGAATATTTTGTAACCATGTCCAAACCGTAATAATGTTTTTTTTTTTTTTTTTTTTTTTTTAACGTATCAAAATATAAAAAAAATCTAACTTCCAGTTTATTCCTTTTTGTCAGATAAGGAGTTATTTCAATTTTAGGAAGATATCTGGTGCATTAATACTAGCATTACTTTTATTAGATAAATAATCATAAAAATGAATTTAAGTGTAAATTTTGCATTTGTTTGGTGTGCTATAATTTTGACTTGTCTAAAATTAGTGATAAATCTGCTGTAGCAATTACTTTTCTATATTTTTTGTAAATTGACAGTTTATGTTATCTAAGTCAACTAACCTGTTTACTTAGTTGTGCCTCAGACGGTATAGTGGTTAGGGAAGGCTGACTGTAATATCAAAGGGCCCAGGTTTGAATCGTAGAGAAGGCATTAATGGTCTTAGTAGTGGCTAGTGCCATTATAGGCATGTACCCACCATTTGGGGGAGGGGAATTCATACTGTCATTGTTAGAAAGAAGTTGTTAGAAAAGATAAAAAGTGGCCTAAGGCAGTGATTTTTCAAGTGTAATCTGCATTCATTTTTATTGCTAAAAAGTGTGAAATAATGAATGCTCATTTAATATTTTCTAAGCAATTAGGAAAATGGGATCTTTGGCACTCTTGCTCATTTTGGCATCTGATTTCTTTTTTAAGCATTAATTTACCGAGTAAATTCAATTTTGAAAGATTTAATGTTATGGATATAAAGTCTGTTTTATTTATTTACTTTACTGAGATTTTTAATTTAAGGTAAATGCTTTCCATTTTAGTGCATATTTTATTGGTTTTATTGGCTTAGTGTCTTCAGATTGAATGAATAATCTTGATTTAACAAATTTTATTGAAAGTCCCTAGCAGTTCATTAATTCTCATATTCAACTGTATGTTTATTAAATTTATTAAATCAATAATAAAGTAATCCCATTTAGGCATACACATCAAGTAATTTACATTAGAAAAATTGTTATGAAATGAATATAAGGTAATAATTCTTCTCTCTTAAATCTCATTAGGTAAAATTTAAAATGTTTATTTTTTTATCCCATTAAAATATTTCATTACATTATACTCTAGCTGCAAAATGACTGTTTAAATGCCGTGTCTGAATTGTATGTGCCACTGTACAATTCAAGTTATAGTCTGAGTATTCTCATTAGTCATGAGATAATCATATTTAAAACCATTCAAATCATTCTTTCATTTTAAATCATATCTGTTGTTGTCTTACATGTTTACTTCTGTACAATTAATTCTTTGCTCATAATTATTCTGTTACATGTTGAGGTACTTTTTTTTTTGTTAAAGTGGTCACCTTGGTCAGTTGCCAGAATAAGCAAACTAAATACTTGCAACATTACTTGCAACATGTTTTTACTTGCAACATGTTTAGTTTTCAACCTGTTTTGATTATGAAGTTGTCTGTATATAACCAGTTCAATATTTTTCTTCTAAAATGTTCACCATTATAATTTGTTATTAATTTCAAACTAATTATTTTGGGATATTTGTAATGGGCAATGTGTTTGATTTTCATGCTCACTTTAGGCCTGTATGATATCATTTCTTCAGTATTTCGCCTCCTCCTTAAAATACTAGCCATTCTAACGTTTCCCGGTAAAGTGCAGAATCGCCCACTTATATTGCACGTATCGATGGACAAAGTCAAGGGAGTGCACAGTGCCAAATTCCAAGTTTGTGCAGTTTTCTGAGGTTTTTTTAAGTGAAAATAGGTTGATATGTACATGGATACTGAGTTTGTGCAATTCTTTCACTTGTTATTTTGCCTTTGTGTAGTGGCAATTTTTGGCGCACTGCTTGCTAAAACAGCTGCTGAATATCAGTAGTAATATACATTGGACGATGTGTCTTCCAGTTGTGCTTCTTGGTCTTCGATCAACATATAAAGAAGATCTGAGTGGAACCTTCTCGGAAGTGGTCTACAGAACTACTATTCCTCTTCCTTCAGAGTTTTTGCTATCCACCCGTGTTTCTAATTCTGTTTTTGTTGTAGATCTGACTTCATTTATACAGAAATTGTGTGAGGGAATGAGAGAGGTATCTCCAAAACCCACTTTCAGCTCATGTTAACAATTAGTATTTCATGCTCCCAGCTTTAGTCATGCATTCACATGTTTGTGAGGCACGATGCACTGAAATCACCATTGACTCACCCATACGATGGACCATTTAAAGTAAAAAAAAAGTTTAATAAAAATTTTACTCTTCTGTTTGAGAGAAAGGAATTAGTCATTGACATTGATCATCTGAAACCAGGATTTTTTGTTTCAGGCACTCCAGCATCCGTTTCTGTTCCTGAACAAACTCTTAACAGTAAATACATCGGGCACCATGGTTGAAATACCTGTCCTGGTTAACCAAGCATCACCAGTGTATAACTCTCCAAACTCTTATCATTTCAGCTGTTTTCGGTTCAAAGCACAGTTTGGTCAAACTTACAGTTAATTACAGTTAAGTTTTAAGTTAATAGAGTTTTAAGATTTTACAGTTCTTTGAAAATAGATTCTTTTGCAGCCTCTTTTTTTTTTTTTTTTTAGTTTTTCCTCAATTAGAACAATAAGCTACATTTTACTATATTATTTAGTTTAGATTGATCATAGAGAAAATAGACAAGAAATATTTGGCTAGGCAGGTATGTTTTCATAATACACATCTTGAGGGAGACCTGACTCTGTTTACACTATGTACAAGAAATATCAGAAAACTATTCATATAATCATGTTCAGCAATTAGAAAATGAATCTGAAATGTAACTGTTAGCATGGAACACTTTTATGATTTTTGTGCTAACTTAGTGCATTTGATAGATACTTTTGTTTCAAAAATTCACTCTTTAATATGTATTAAAAAATGCTGTATAATCATGTTTTAAAATGAAAAAATTGCATGTAATATTTATGCTTTGTATAATTTTTTGCATGTAACACAGGTGTTAATCTTGAACTTTTAACTATAAATTGCATGCATACATTTATTTAGCTTAAATAGGAAAGAAATTATCTGTGTTTACAAATACATTATTTATGTATCTGTAAATATCAGGTTTTAATGAAAGTTTCCTGCCACCGCAAATACCATCTGTACAAACAGTTCATGTTGGCAGGTTTAATCATATTTTGCCAAATGATTTTTGGCATTCAAAAGAAAGAGACTTGCTTTAAAACACTATGTTGTGAAATTTGCATTTAGGTACTAATGTTGTACATATAACACTGAAGGTTTGGTACTAAAAGTTCAAAAACAAGGAGTTTGACATTCAAGAAGCAGAACAGTCTGGCTAGCGTACCAATGTTGATGAGGCCTGCCTGCAAGAACTTGTAGAAGAAGATCAGTGTAAAAACACTTGAGAACTTACTAAGGAGTTAGACGTGAGTGCCTTGTCCGTTAGTCGCTCTGTGCATCGAATAAACTTGACATACAAGTTCAGTTGCTGTGGGCTGCATGAGCTGACTCAAGCAGATATGGACAGACGTGTTCAGACTTGCAGTAAGTGGACTTACTTCAACAATGCAGGCAAAAAAGGGGTTTGATCTGTGCCTGGTGAGCCTGTCAGCGTTGTCGCAAAGTAAAATTTTACTAACAAAATGATCATGCTTTGTATCTGGTGCAATTACTGTGGTCCACAAAGAGTGTCTGGAAAAAGGTAAAACCCTTGAAAGTAAGGTGTTCAACAAGGTGCTAGTGTGTGGTGATGCTGCTATCAAGGAAAAACGTTGAACTGAGTTCCGGTGCAAAAAGGTAAATGTTCTATTAAGACAACGCAAGACCATGTGTGCCTGCATTCACTGGCTGAACACTGTAGGGACTTGAATGGGATCTTTTGCTATACTCACCATATAGCCTCGACATCACTCTTTCGGACTTGTATCTTTTTCAAATCTGCAGCTACATCTTACTGGTGCTGCCTTCCATTCTGCACAGAACATTCAAATGATCTGTTTTTGGACTCGCTGCCATCAAGTTTCTGGGCCGAAGGCTTTGAAAAACTACCAAAATGTTGGCAGAAAATCATAGATTTGGTTGGCGATTACTACCCACACTAAACATACTGCTTTCATTTTTTTGTTTTTTAACTTTATTAAGAATATTGTTTGGCAGAAAACTTTCATTAGAACCAGATATTTAGCACGTAACTCTCAGAAATATGTCAGAAATTCAAGACTACTAATTCAGAAAAATGTCAGTAGTAAAATTCTTTTATTTGCTACATGCTTAGGAGAATATTTAGTAATGCAAAATACTGCAAACAATACTCAAATTCTTCTATTTGCTGCATGTTTCAGTAGAATATTTAATAAGGCAAAATACTGCAAACAAAAAATCTGCTGTTAAAAGTCCAGATTTTTCATCAGAAGTATTTTTTATTTACATTGCGAATTACCATAATTCTGTTACCTCACTTTTGAAAGCAGATGTAAATAATTCATTGTGTGGGGTGGGGAGGTATGTCTCTAATTGCATTAATTAGATTGAACAGTTGTGTATGATAAATGTAATATTGTAAATATTTAATATTTAAAATTGTTGTGAAAATTTAAGCCTTTTATATTAATATTTTGTATTTGCTTATGCTTTGATTTGATTGGAACTATATTTACTTTAGGATGAAACTGGAGCATATTTGATTGATCGAGATCCAACTTACTTCGGACCTGTTTTAAATTATTTGCGCCATGGGAAACTTGTAATTAACAAAAACTTGGCTGAAGAAGGTAGAAAAATTTTATATAATATTAAATATATTTTGCTTTATTTTTTAAAATAAAATGAAATATTTATACAATTGTGATTTTAGCTTTATATTATGAAATGCTGTTTTCATATGTGATAAATTTTTCATGAAAAGTGTAATGGTGTGACAGCTTATGCACACAATATTTATGTGACAAAAAATAACTCAAACAGAAATTATCAGAAACTGGTGTATAAGAAATTGCTTTGAATCAAGTAACAGCTTCATGTATTAAGCTTTGTTAAACTTTTTCTGCACAAATAATTACGGAACTACTCTCATATGAGCCCTCAGGTCGCCAATTGTGGTGAGAAACTCCACGTCGCCATATTACTACCTAAATTTTTTGTCTACATTTCGAACTTTTAGCCTAAAATGTCAGCAAAAACGTGATTTTTGCACGTACAAAAATCATATTTTGAACACACAATTTAAGCTAAAAATTTGAAACGAGAACAAAAAATTTAGGTAACGAAAACATAAAGTTTCTAACCAAAAATATTTGACAAGAATCTATGTACACAATGATGTGTTTTAACTTCAAAAAGAATTGCACAATCTATGAAGTGAAGGAATCTACGAACTACGCACACCTAGCTTAAATAAATCAACATAACAACAATAAATTTCAAAGACTACCATGTACACTTTCTTTTTAAACTTCTACGAAAAAAAATCTACGAATTGCACAATCTAGGGGACGAAGGAATCTATGAACTACACACACTTTGCTTTAATAAATTAACATAACAACAATAAATTTCAAGAATACTGTGTACACAGCATTCTGTTTAAACTTTAAAAAACATCTGTGAATTACATAATCTAGGCATTGCCCACTAATCAACAAAATAAACTGAACTAAAATAAATTTCAAGCAATTCAAAAAAACAACAATGACAGAAACTCGTACCAAAAAAACAATGAACTTAACATTCTACTAAATAAGAACAAGAATAAAACAAAATGCCCTTATGATAAATAAATGCTTCATCGAACAGTAGAAATACCAATTTCAAACATCATCAAAACAATTTCACCACAAATTTGTTAAAAGCATCTTCGCTCGTTTCAGAACAACGATGGCAAAATATATAATTCGCCAAATAAAACTCCAAATCGCATTTCCAATTATAAGTCAGGAACGTCACTTTAACACGCCGCCACGTAATCTCTATTGTATTTATATGACAGCCAGACTCACTATCCACAAAATTGATACTATGTTTCATAAATAAGTGTTCAAAACCTTCTTCTCCTAAATGCTTGTTGAATTTTCAGCCACCCGAAAAGTAGTTGTACCAGGCACGCGACTAAAATTTTGCCAACACTTCATAAATCATTTAATTACCATACGAACCAACTAACAAATCCAAGTTTCCACATAAAAAGGGCTGCCATAGAAACCAAAATCGCCCCCAAAACCATCGCAGAACAGAATGCATAATTGCGCCAAAAACCAGTGCACAACATATATCGCTGCATTTGGCAACTTTAGGGTGCATGTAAGAGTAGAGCTGTAATTACTACTGTGTATATTTAATTTCTGATCTGTTTGTTCATAAAATCTGATGTTAATTATTAAAATGTGTATTTGTGAATGTTTTCAAATATAAAAGTAAAATTGGATTATTTTTATATAGCATTAATTTTGAAGATAAATTAATTAAATTATAAAGAACATATATATATAATTCAGTATATGAATATTAGGTTTTTTTTTTTTCCAAAGCATGCTTTACCTCAAAGATGTATGTTACATAATAAAAACTTTTTCACTTAATATAATTTAGTATGCAGAGTATATTAATTACAACTGTGAAATTAAAATCTGATATGTACACTGCTGGCCATTAAAATTGCAACTCCACACAACACAGCATAAAAGAAAAGTTGTGTAGTGGATTTCTCATTCACAAAGCACTTTGTAAGGTCGGAATTTGATCAGAGTATCGTGTTTTGCCTCGAATAATAATAAGAAATGTTTACCAGCAAGTGTTGGAATTCGATAGAAGCAGGATCATTGCCTATTGAGAGTATGGATTATCGATCCACAATATCACCCATTGCACTGGTCGACATCCAAATACAGTCATGTGCATATGGAATCAGTGGGTGCTGAGGGTCACACTGAACGGCATGCATGATCTCAGCGCCCTCCCATGACTAATACCTGAAAGGACACACATATTGTGAAGTCAGCCCTGCAAAACCATATAACCATATCATGGACCATTAGTATGGAAATGAGCATGTTTGCAGCATGCCCAGTATCCATTCGTACAGAGCGTCGACGTTTGCAGCAGCATGGACTGTCAGCACAGTGACTATTATTGAGACTTTCTTTGACAATGCAACATAGAGAGAAACAGCGACTCTGGCATGTAAAACGACAAAGATGGATACAGGAGCGGCACAATGTCGTCTTTTCAGACGAGTCCTTGTTCTTTTTCCAGTATTTTGATCGCCATATACATGTCTGAAGGCTCCAAGGAGACCGCATGTTGCCTTTTTCCATTCGATGTTGGCATAGGGTCCCTTCACGTGGTGTGATGGTTTTTAACAGCCGTTGGGTACATGACACACACATCTCTAGTTTGGATTGATAGTAATTTGACTGCAGATTGATACATTTCTGACATCTTACATGCAGTGGTTGTGCCCTATCTTTGAAGCCTGCCAAATGCCATCTTCCAACAAGATAACACAAGACCACATGTTGCAAGTTTTGTGCTGATGTTCCTTGATACAGAGGTATTCGATTGACTCCTTTGTCTGCATGGTCTCCAGATTTGTCACCCATTGAAAACGTCTGGTCATGGGTTGCTGAAAGACTGGTTTGCCACCCCTCTGCAGCTAATACGGCTGATAAAGTGCGGCATAGACCTGAAGCAGTATGGATTGAGTTGCCCATTTCCGTCATCCAAGCTCAGTTTGACTCCATGCCTAACCGGGTAAGGGCCGTTTTAGCTACCAGGGATGGTTTCTATTAATTTCGCGCCCTTGTAAACTCCTGAACTTCATACAAATTTAATTGTTTTGTCTTCATGCCATAATGTTTATGCATAATAAATATTTTGGCTAATCTTTGGAATATGGTAGCAGGTAGTTTGGCGACATTTTGGTGAGGCGATAAAGTTTACTAGCTAGGACTTCAGCAGTGTACATGGATAAAGTCAAGAGCATGTGCAATGCCATTTTTGTGCAATTCTGGGAGTTTTTTTAAGTGAAAATAGGTTGACGTGTACATGGATACCGTGTATGTGTAATTCTTAAAAACGCGGCAAGCAGTTTGCGATTCTGCACTTTCTCTCAATTTCGCACCTAATCTTCGTCATGATTAAGCACTTTTGTTTCATAAAAGTTCTAGCATAAGCATAATTCGGCTAGCAGATTGTTGTAAAAAAAATGTTGAGTTAAAAAAAAAAAAAAAAGCCTTTACTTTGTGAAAACAAAATGGCGTCCACTAACAAACTAGCAAGTTGCTGTAGCAGGGTTGGTCGTCAAATTTTCGCCAAAAAATCGCCAAGTTACCATAATCCAAAGATTAACCAATATCTTTTTTATATTTGGTTTCCTTCAAGGTGTTGCAATTTTAATGGCCAGCAGTGTATTTTGAAATGCATGTAAGTAAACCCTTGCTGAAAGTGGAGATGCATGCAGAACAAGATTTTACGTATATGCCTTATCTTGTCTCCATTTAATTTGTACTCCAGTACCCAGAATGTTCTAAAATTCAGAGCTACTAACCACCAGCAACCCTTTTATTTATTTATTTTTTTTTTGTATGCTTTACCCATAGGCATTTTATACTTTTTCATAATAAAACATGAAGAGAGTCCCAATTTCACTTTGGCATTAAATGGAATTCTTCCATATTGAAGAAACAATAATTTATTTGCGTAAATCTGTGTGATGAATAATTTGGCTCTGTAGCTGCCTTATTGATTGGCATTAATTGCAAACCGAAACATTCTACGTTGAAAAATTGTTGTTGTACTCCTAATGAATGATTTATATCCATGATGAAAACCTGACTAATCATTATTTATTATTTTTTTGCTTTCATCATGTCATAACTATCAACACACATAGGGCAGCTTGAGAAATGACTTACCCTACAATATCTAAACAAAAGAATACTAGCAATTCAGTATCAAAGAACATGTAATCTTTTATGTTGGTATTGCTTGGTGATGATTACATTCTTCAGCTAACTGAACTGCAAATTGTTAAATGTGTTAGCAAGGAGAAATTTTAACAGAAATTTCTTTTCATGTGCAAAAGTTGATTTTGTAAATGATACTTAAAATTTTGTAAATGGTACTTACTCATTCTGAGTTATATGAATTGAGAGTAACTGATTTGTTATTCAAATAAGCCCAAAACCAGCACCACAGATAGTGCAGCCATATCTGGCAGCAGAATTTAGTGGGGGCAAAATTTTTAGAATTTAGAGAAGCGTCGAGCTGCAAAATTAAGGGATGGCAAAATTTTTAGAATTTGGGAAAGTGATTAACAGCAGAATGTAGAACTCACAGAGACTGTACTGCATAAGTCTGAAGTATACGTGGGAATTTATTTATTCAGTACTTGAATAAGCCTTACACATATGTGGGAAATATGCATAAGTATAATAAATTACTAATATAATTCAGGCATATCTTCATTAGCACATGATAGAAGCAAAACAAAATTTAGCAGAACATATATCTTCATTTGCTAATCTCATGATACATCACCAATAGTATATAGCTTATGCTAATAAAGCTTTATAATGATAGCTGTAAACTTGAAGGTTTTCTGATATCTCATGCAAAAAGCAAAATTTTCCAGTTAATGGAATTTGTGAGGGAATGTGGAGAAGTAATAAATGATAGTGATATAACAGAAGTTTTTCATTGCGATGTTAATGCCCCGATCATCAGACAATTAATGGATGGTAAAATCTGTAGTATAATTCCAGATTCAGCAAATATCACTATCCGTGGCGAAGAAAATGACAGAGGTTCTAGACAATGAAAAAATTTTCTATTCGACGTTACTAAGGGGAATGTGTACTATGTAGTGCTTATTTTTTTAAAAAAAAAATTATTGTCTTTAAAATATTTGTTTTAAAATAGATAAATTTTAACATGACATGTACAAGGTATTCCAAAAAGGTTGTTACAAAATTTCTTTCTTTAAATATTGATCTTAGTTGTATTTTCTTAAAATAAGATGTAGAATTTTTTTGAAAAGAATCATAATAGAGGAAGTTTTCAAAAAAATAAAATTAACTTATTATATGAACAACAGTGAGGAAAAATTAAAGTTATTTGAGCATTTATTATGCTTTAATTAGCGGGAAAAAAGTTTCCTAATGTTTACTTGGAAAATCAGTGGAGATAGCTGAAATTGAATTTTCTACAATAAATTTTTCAATGCTTATTACCAACTTAATCCCAAGAAAAAAAATTCTAAGATGCTGCTTCTTTTGGGACTAAAATTTTGGTCTCAAAACTTTTTGAGAAGTTTCAGAAAAAACTTTGAGAAAATATATTTCTATTATTACAAATTCGAAATGTCCCTGTAACTTGGATCATGATTCATTCAATACATTGCCTGATTAATTTTGATACTTTTCGAGAAGGTTAAGTGCTTATGTTAGAAAAGATGTTGAATGTCTACATGGCTTGACCAGCTATAAGTTTAATGGTTCACTCTTGGACAAAATTTAGTGACAACATTTATTTATTGCTGACTGATTGAAAATATATATTATCTTAGCATGTTTATTCATGAAAGTATAAATTTATTTGCTTTTAATTAATTAAAGCTTAATAAATGTGTTACTAATTGAAATTCTTACTGTACGAGCATGATACAAAAAATATTATAATTTTCTTTACAGAACTTTTCACTCATAGTGTCAAGGTTGTTTTCATAAAATTCTACTCCTTATTTCAAGAAATTCTGATTCTGAAAGTACATACTGAATACCTGTTTAAGGCAAAAAGAGTCTAAAGTAGCCTTTTTTGAACACTTTGTAGATGAAATGTAAGAATCTTGATGCAGCATGACATTAAAAGTAACATTCTTTATATAGCTTTTGATTTCAATCTGAGTTTCTGTAGCATTCTTTTGAACCTTATACCCTGAAATAATGATAGAGGAAGGTTTTAATTTGGGACGTTACATTAGGATATCCATAATCATACATAGTTTATACTCCATTTTTCAGGTACATATTCTAAGAGTAAGAAATGAAAAGGTTTTCTTCAAAGTGAGTATCACGATACATGAAAAATGATTTTTTATGACTATTATAAAATTACAGTGATTTTTCCTCTTCTAACTTTTCAGCTGCAAGAGATGTGACTTATATATTGAGAATAATTTAAACTATCTTTGTTATATTATTTTCTGTATGCTATGTTGTCTATTAATAATCTATTTCCCTTCTAAGGCGTACTAGAAGAAGCAGAGTTTTATAATATAACAGATTTAATTCGTCTTGTGAAAGAGAAGATAAAAGAGAAGCATGTTAAAATGAGCAAGGTATTAGTTCTTTAACACTCTTTAAATCTGATCTTGTGGACTTTCAAAAGAAGTTTTTAAATTTTAGTAAAATATTTATTTTAGAAAATGGTGTTTGCTTTCGAAAAACCGCTTCTTTGTTGTGTGGAAATCCTGTCAGGAGGTTGGTGGTAGAGGGAGTTATACAAGTTTCTCAGATTCCATACATTAACTTATTCAAAACTGACATAGATATTCATGATCAGAAATGAGATGGCTAATTCATGATCAGAACTGAGATGGCTAGTAATCCTCATGCTTGACTAAGTTAAATAATGCACTGCAGCTCTTTTCATATATATATTTAAAAAAATTTTATGATGGAACTGCTAAAATAAAACATACTTAAAAAAAAAGACCTTCCTTATTTAAATTAATCTTTTCAGTTCTGGTACAGTGAAAATGAAGTTATGAAGTTTACTTATGGACTGAGAACATTTTAGCACTGTCATTTCAGTTCTTTTATAATAGTGACTGCTAGTCACCAACTATTGCATTACTACAGCTAGCATCAAATTTAAAAACTGGGCCTAGTTAATGTCCAAAAATGCTGCTAGACTCTGTTGCTGTTGGTTGAAAGAATACTTTGTAATAAAAGTTCAATTTTGTTTAAAAAATAGGCTTTGTATGTGAATTTTAAGATTGAAATCATGAAAAGCTGAGATTTGGTGGAAATTCATTTGTACTGCGCACATTCTTTTAATGCTACACATATGATGAAAATTTTGATTTTGATGGTAGTTGACACAGATGCATGATTGCGGAGCTTATTAAAGAAGCAGAGAAGAAAATGTATAGATTATATTTTCTGAGCTTAGGTTAAGAATGATAGACTTTTGGTTTCAGTTCATTCCTGTTCACTAATTTATTTGGAAATTTTAACATTATTAGCTGAAGGATTGTGTAAATACCTATATTAGCTTTACTTGAGAATTGTGTGACAAGAATTACTCTTTGAAATGATGCAATTTAGAGAGATTTAATATAAGCATGTTACTATTTTTTAAGATGGAAAGAGAAAATAGCCAAATTAAATAGGAAACTTAGGACTGTTGCAAAATAAAGGTAACTTAAAGTTTTCTGTTTAAAATGAAAAAACAGCCTTAAAGTCTGTGAACAATTTTATCCTGTTATTGTCAGCACCCTGTAAGAGGAAGTGCTGTAAGTTTTTGTGGTACTATTATGCATATACCAAAGCTTTCTCTACCAATTTGTTTTGGCTTAATATAAATATTTTAGGAGTATTTTTCTTCCATGAACAACCAGAGTAACAGCCAGAGTTTACCTCGGTACATTGATTTATTACATTTGTCCCACTATTGGAGGACTGTCAACCAGAGGCGATTTTGTTGCATGTTGAGGTAACTTGGGTTACTTGTCACAAAAACTTTGAACTTTTTAGTGAAAATGTGGATAGCACTAAGATGGTAAGTTGTTCCATTCCCAAAGAACAAGCTATTGAAGTTGTTCAGAGACACTCTTTAATTTCCTATTGGCCAAATTCAGGCATTGATATCAAGGATCAATCAAGGAAGTTTAATTTATGGAGCACTTAAGTACGAAGTCTTTACCTCCACATCATCAAAGATGAAAATTTATCTTATCAAAAGATGGGTTCATCTAATAGAATAAAAATTTGGAAAGACAAAACAAAAGCTTTAACCTTTTCGCGACGGCGCACCTTTGTTTAAGATGCTCATGCGGGACGGAAGCGAATCGAAAGCAGTCACCGTACAGGATGGAGGTTTTGCATCGCTAAGCCTAATTTTATAAAAAAAAAAAAATATACTTTTTTTTTAATCATTTATTAACTTTTATAGTTCAACCCTCATACCCAAAAATCTCTTCATCTCAAGTCTTGAAAAGAAACCAGATTCTACTATTTCTTCTGCCCATTCTGTATCCAGATTAAAGCTAAAAGCGGCAGACGTTTCGCTGTCTTTAGTTGCTTTCCCCCCACTCAAATGACCGTCGTTCAGCGGGGCGTATTGACGTGTCCATGTCCTTTTGTCCAGCAGGCTCCCGTTATGGCAAGAAAGATTTAATTGAATGTATACCAGATTTTAGTGGTTATCGCCGTGTTGGCTGCGTAACTAAGCAGATTTTAAACAGCGTACGTACTTTATGAATATGTGTTTGAAATTGATATTGCTTTGCGTTTTTAGTTTTTTATTTGGAAAATTATTTACTTTTATTTCTCCGTGTTTTACTAAAATATTTCACAAAATCTGCATAAAAATTGTAGTCATTCCTCACGCAAAAATTTATAGAAAATTACGTTTTGATTCCACCATAACTTTGTACCATTACTCATTTGTATTACGTAGCAAGAAGAAGAATAGAACTAATAATTAGGCCCAGAGAAAAGATACGGTCATCAAAATTTTCTACTCATCGCATTATACAAATAAAAACGTACACAATTTATGTACTAAATAAAATGCATTACGTTAGCCTATAGTTTAATAAACAACTAATTTTACTTATTTTATCTTTTAATTACTTCAATTTATATTCTAATCAATAATCTTTTCTGAATGACGTTAACATGAATATTTTCCAACGACATTGACTTGAATTATTACTAAATCTATTTGAGATGAATTTGAATTTCAAAAATGTTTCTTTACATGGTAACTTTGAACGTTGATCACAACGAATTTATATGATAGAATATTAAATTAAAATTTTTCCTATACAATTCAGTTTTTACATTTTTCTTTTTTTTTTTTTTTTTCCTACCAAAATCTTAACTTTAATTCTCAGCTTCCTATTCATCGTTATTATAAATACTTTTTTTAGATAAAAATAAAATATTCTTTGCTACATTAAGACCCTCAATGCCTTCCCCTCGTCGCTGGAGAGATTTGCGGAAAGAAAACTGTGTCATGAAGTAGAGTGCAATGATAAAAGATCGTCTAAAGTGAAAAGCCGGCACATAAATGAACTCCTTTTCAGATAAACTATATTACTATCTAGATTTTTGAATGATTTTATTTATTAAAAATTCCTTTTCCATATTAAAAGTTTATAATGATGATTTTAAATCATGTACTGAAAAACGATAAATTACTTACTTGAAATTTTTCTAAATTCGTACATACGCACAGAAAACTTCCAAAATATAATTTTTTTTCACTTTCTTTTATTAATGCTTTTAAGTATTTCTAACTTAAAATGAAAATTAAGACTAAAACTATCGTGCGAATAAACGTAGAACTGAGAAGAATTTTGCCTAATTTAGTGCACTGAAAAAATCTAAAATTCAGTTTTAAGATGCTGTATTTTCAAAGTTAAAACTGTTTTTAAACATTTCCCTAAAGAAGCGTCTTTTTTTTTGTTATAAGTTCTAGAAACACATTCTTGAACGGAAATATAGTTTCAGAATTAAATTAAAATGCCTTGAAATAAGTGTGTCTTGAATCGTGTTAGATAAAATTATATGACATTAAATAAGAAATGTTTTTTTTTCTCTGTACAGTGTTAAAGCTGATGCTTTCCCGTTTTTAAAGTTGTCGCTGCTACTCCTAGGCTCCAAGACATCCGTAAATAATTAGAGAAGAGGAATGTGTAGCTGACTTAGATAAATCATAGAGTGAATGTCAGTTCGGGTTTACTTCGCTGTTATTCGTCGGTTCTTGTATTAGGCATAAATTTCAAGAGTTAGAAGGGAAAGGTTCGGCGTTACCTTCACAGGTAGTTTGCAGGGATTTGTTTTTGTCAATAAGATGAAAACAATCACGACGTGGACGAATCCAATTTAAAATTTAGAGGACTGCGTCCTCTGAACGCATTGAGGAAGGGGAAAGTTACAGGAATATTTTTTAATTTACGGAGCCTGCAGCTAAAACGATAGTGGGAAAAATACGTAAGGATATAATACACTATCGATTTCTAGAGCAATCTTGAGCAGGCAAATTGCAGTAAATCTGTTTCGCGTCTGAAGAAGAAGGACTTATGCCAGTTCGCTCTTGAAATTGATAAATGTTTATTTAAAAATCTACGCGAATTTAAAGTTTACTTTTTTACAAATTTTAACTATTATATTGGCATGCTTTCTCTTCTTATTAATTTGCTATATTGAAAATTCAAAAATATGATACTTGAAATCATGCTCTGTGTGGAAATTTACACATACATGCATATGTATATATATATAAAATCTTTAATATGCAAGTTTTATCAGAATGCATTGAAAAATAAAAAAATAATTCTTAAATTATCCCAACAGTTCTGATCATATGATACTAAAGTCAAAATCATACAACACTTTTCAAAGGATCCTTGTCCTCATTATTTTTAAACACTTATAATTAAAACACATATACTTTAACGTATATATTTTGAACTTTATGTAAGTTCTTTTATTTAATTTCGTTTCCTTACCCAGGATAGCTATAGCTTAAAATATCAATTCAACAAGAAAAGCACTTTTTCCACTGTATAGCATGAATGGGAGTTAATTTTCCTTAAAAGGTCCTCCATGAAGGCATCCCTTCCCTTATGTATGTAGCCTTTGTGTGTGCATCAAATCCAATCATGCAAACAATCAAGAATGAAAAAAAAAATTTTTTTTGTTTCGTTAAATCACGTGATCTGTGGAGTAGGGGCTCCACTTGTGGTCGAGAAGTAAACAGTTGTATACTGGTAGTTCGATCTAGGTTATTGCGCAGAAGAGCGGGTTGTTATTATATAGACCATTTTGTGGCTTTCTGCTTGTGTAATGTGAATACGACCTAGTTTCGCTGAGCAAGTCGTCCTCGAAAATATACCTTCCCTTCCCTTAGGACAGCCGTCGTGTGCTTTGTCATATCCAAATACCCTGACCTGATAACCCACTAGCTACATTTTAAACCGAGGCGTCCAATGACGTTCTGAAAACTGAGTAATTAAAAAGATTTTTTAATACGTTTCATTTTGCATCTTTTAATTTCCTACACTTTTGTTCGTTTTGTAATTTGAAGCACCTCCATGTCTTTTTA